ATCCAAACTTTTTTTTTCTCTCCTTCAAATCTCCAAATGAAATTAGAGCCAGAAAAAAAAAACAGTTTTTAACTCCTTCGACTTCAGCTACTCAGCTAGTACTCCCTCCATCCCAGAAAGAATACATGTCCATCCCAGAAAGACTACATCTCATGTTTTAGTATCTTATAAGTTTAACCAAATATAGATAAAAAAATATTTAATATTATAATATCAAATAGATACCATTAGATTCACGGTAAGACATATTTTTATAATAAATTGATTAGAAAACATAATATGATTACTATTTACTAAAAACATGATCAGATGTGAATCACTCTAACTGGAATGCCATAGCCAAAGCCTGGAGTCAAACAGACTGAAGCCATCCATTTTCAGGCATGCTCAACGACTCGCCATTTCCGTAGGAGTACAGCATGTTAGCATAGACCAACTGTTGCTATAGTACACCCACTTGCTGGTTGTACAGTGCGCACAAAGCTCAAAACAGCCTGTTCGAGAGGACGTATCCTATCGTGGATTATTTATTGCTGGCTAGTTTGGTGTGAGAGAAAAACACTGTTTCCGGCTGGAAATTTACTTCTGCCATTTCGTCTGCTGTTGTCACACCTCCTGCGACAGCACCGTCTGGCCACTACATTTTGATATATTTTTTTTACTTTAAAACTTTTCAGGGTGTACTACAGCAGTGAGACTCCCACCACAGAGAAAGTGGTAAAACAAAAACAACTACTGTACTAATGTAGTTTTAAAATGTACACCAGGAGAGAGGCGGTCAACTAGCATGGCTCTCTGCTCCCACAATTTCACTGTGCCATCATCCATTGCAGATGCCAATAATCTAAACAAACTGAGAATATGTTGCTGTCAACTCTCAGAAGTTATCAGGATACCATCGCTTGTCCAGTACATGTGCCTTCTCTTTCTTTTTAATATTAATCGGATGCCCTCTCAACCTGCAAGGCCGAGATTACATTCAATACTTAGTGCAACACAAAAACTCTCAAAACAATTTTCATAAACACATGGGTGAAAGATGTACAAGCTGTCATCAACTTTTGCAAACAAAAAATGCCATTATGGTACACCAAAATAAAAATAAAAAATTTGTGGAAAAGATAAATAGCCATACATCATTGGTAGTTGATGCAAACCAATAATGGAGAACAATCTGTCAAAGAATGGCAATTCTCACAATGCGAGAAATCACATACATGGACTCAGTTGATACTGTTATTGTATCTTAGATGATAAACTTGCCTAAGAAATTCATTTTGGGTAGCTGAGAATTCAACCGACCTTGACCAATGTGCAGGAAAAAATTTGCCATGATATCCTGTAAGTGTAGAAATGTGTCACCTGAAAAGGTAAATAACAACTTTCTGTTCAGGAGGTGCAGTGCAGGACAACTCAGTTTTGACATCTACCTTTACCGGGGAATGTAATAGTAATTAATTGTCAAGATTATCTAAAAAGATATTATACAATATCAAGAGAACTCAACAGTTTATCAATCCATAATTATTAACTGTAGCATAGTAGGAAGTATTTCTCAGCTAGGCAACTTTAGCCAAGGTCAATGGAGAATACATGATAAACACATATCTGTAAAGAAAAGGTAAATCCTAGTTACTTCTGCATTAGCAACATGACAAGCCTAGTAGAAAATGCAAAAGGGTATTTCACTATTTCCAAGCTGCAAATCTCCAGGACACACTGTATTGTTTTTTTAATAAAAAACACAACAGATGTAACAGCTCTGAGAGCATTAAAAAGTACTAGTGGCAACCATTATGGTGTGTCTTAAAAACATTTTACAAACAGCATGTCTGCAGAATTAAGCTTTTACTTATTATAAACTTCTTATATTTCTTGGCAACAGTGGCAACCAACTAGCAAATGGGAGGAGGCATCTCATCTACGAACAAAACCCACTAACTTGTACTAAATCCACTAACTTGTACTTAACACTAACTTGTATTAGTAGTTTAAGTGCTCGCTCATCATCTAGGGAATAACTAAGAGAAATAAATAATTATGTACATTAACGATCCAAGAGAGAGCTGCTCTTCACATAAAGAAAAAATGACATATTCTGGACCTGGGCCACGCCAAACTAGTAATTTCTGAATATTCTCAACTAGCCGCTTGCTAATTGTTCTTTCATATTTGACCGTATAAACACTACAAATAGCTTGTTCACTACCTGCCAAGTTCTAATGCGCCAAGAACATAACATGAAGACAACCTGAGGTCAAATCTTTAAGCAAAAAATTCCAAATTTTACACAACTAACAGACCACAGACTAAGTTGAAGTGGATGAAAGATGGCAAAGAACATAACTTTCGATAGCCTGCTTTCTAAATATGGTAAGAGCTGCTAGAAAGTACAAGTAATTTAGAAGGTTTGCAATGGGGAAATAGCATTGGGACTAACGTTGATATGTAGTCTTTCCCCTCTCGAGGTATCAACAGTGAGCTTACTTTCCGTAGCAGAATATAGATAAAGACTTACAGGAGATATATCAGAATATTAAGTTAACATACAGTTAATGAACTATTATTATCTAGATAAAGAGGCATGGAGCAGGCTACATTGTGAGAGAAGGTATTTGCAGCATCAAACAAATTCATTGTTCTTCGTGATTTTAGCATGAAAAAAGTAACAAGTATCAGTTATAGCCCATAGTATGGATAAAGGTTATCACACATAGCACCATATAGCAACCATACTTGCAAGAATAAAGGGAACAGAAACTTAGCATCAAACACAAACACCAAAATGATGGAGCAATTCCAAAAATCAAGATCTAAACCTGAACCTTAGTCTACATAATAAAGAAAAATAGTGAGAGACTATAGGATAAAAGAATGAACCTAGAAGAGTGAGAGACTAAAGAAAAATAGTGAGAGACTAAACTAGGACAGACATGGACAGGTGATTGTTATGTCTCTATATAACAGAAAGCCGAAGCCTATGTATCACCAATACGAGATACGGTGATACCAGTACGAGGATGACGATATGGCATTTGTCTGAGATGATTTATGTAAGAAATACAACTAATCTGGGATCTCCATGGATCTAGCGAGCATTTGGACACAAGTAATGTGATGCAATACATAATTACGGGTGAGGAGGGGGCTCATCTGGCCTGCAGCACGCGCATCATAGATCATGACAATGGATTGCATGTGGATTGCCCTGTGTCGAGCTGCTGATGCTACAGTCCTGCAAAGAGAATGAAAATGAGTCGATCAAGGTAGTTGATCTGCTGCTGGACTGACAATCTGAGAAATAAAAAAGAGAGCATGAGCTGCTTCTATACACTGAACAGAGAAAACTGCGGCTTGGCCTTTTTTAGAAAATCATGTGCAAAACCAAAACCACATCTATAGAAAGCTTGTGCTGGGGACTCAAGAAATCCTAGTCCTTACTGCTTGACAATGTTAAGAAAATCTCTAGAAAGCATACAAATTGTTAACAAATACTACATATTAAACCAAGGTGAGTGATCCTACATTGTGATCCATTTTGCACAATCCAAATTGCACATGCACAGACATAATCTGCACATGTAAAACATAAATAATGATTCACAGTGTGGTCTTGATAGCTAACAGCCGTGATTTTGCAAATAAAGACTACCATGATTCATGAAAACAGAATCATTGTTGAATCATCCATGCGAAAAATGAGCTTCACTACCTCTACAGCAATTGTAAAACATAACTAATGATTCACAGTATGGTCTTGAAGGCTACCAGCAGTGATTTTGCTAATATAGTCACCAGGACCATGAAAATAGAATCATTCCTGAATCATCAACTCGAAAATGAGTTTCACTACCTCTACAACGACCATAATTGTAACTTTAATATCCATTCTTAACATGATCCTGGTTTTGAGAAGATTTTATTGGAATTACATATGAGCATTACATCTTTAAGCCCAATTACAAGTTGTATATATTAGCATGTATATGTTACCATGAATGAAAACCACTCCAGATGACATGAATGTAGCATTTGCAGTTAATTAAGCATATAGTGAAAGAAAGGACCTTCTAGTTGAGCAGTCCCATTGCTAGCTGAGGATCCTTTACAGAAAGGGCGTCTGATGTACAGACACATGGAAATTAGTAGTGGTGAAAAAAAATTACAAAAACAAAATCAAGGTAGGAAAATTAATATAGAAAAATCATAACTGGAAGACAAATTAAATATCATAGTTAAAGGGCATGCTATTAAAATGTACTTGAAACCAAGAAACAACGATTAATCCCTTGCGTGTATGGAAACCTCGGACACTGAATTAAAAAAGAAGAAGCTTTTGGCACCTGAATTAAACCAGTACCTGCACAAATCATCGCCACCAAAATTAAAAGCGAACAAACTTGATGCTTTCTGGTTTAAATGAAGCATGTGTGTACTAATTAACCTGGAGGTCCTCCAAATCAGCTGTGATGTTCACAATTGCATATCAATTGCCCCGTGACCTCCTCCTTGGCTGGCGGCGGTCCTCGGCTCGGCCGCATGGGCCACAGGCGCGGTAGCGCCCTGAAGGAGGGTGAAGGCGAAGGGGAGCAGCGGAGGAGCTGGAGGGCGGATAACCCGCCGCCGCCGCCGCCGATGAGGAAAATCTCCGAGCATCCGATGCTGGGGCGGCGCCGGCGGATGCGGATTGGCGCTGGCAGGAGCGCGCGGGGTCGAATGGAGCGGAGCTGATTCTGGAACGTGGGTGGGGGGAGCTGACGAGATGTGATGGTGCTCCGTGCTCGGGCCTCGGCGAGAAAAATAACTGGGCCGGGCCTGGGAGTCTGAGCGGACGGGGTGCTGTGGGTGGGTGGGTTCCTATCTAGAATGTTTGGCCCGTTCGACTTGACGAAGGTCCAACAGACCAATAGATGGAGAGCCCTTATATTCTCCTCTTGGGCTCTTCCCCTTTTGTTGTATTCCTCAATCTTGAATCTAGGGTTTACACTCCAGCCGCGACGATGCCGAACGACGACCACAGCGCCGCAGAGGACCGCTGGGTTCGCACCGTTGTGGAGGAGATCCGACGCTTCCAATCTCTCAGGCCTCGCCCAGGGAGGGTCCTCCGCTACACCCCGATGCCGCCGGCGGTCAGGGCGAGGGTGAACAAACGGCTGGCTTGCTGACCAGTGCCGCCGAAGGATCGCTGCCATCTCCAGTTCATGGTCGCGGAGAAGTTGGAGAAGCTGGCTGGGCTCCAAGGCTACAGCGCGTGGCCCGAGGCCAGTCGCATCGCCGCCGCCGCGGAGGCCGAGGGCTTCGCCGCAGCCTCCGCGTACGCCGCCGGCAAGTCCCTGGCTACCGACGAGGAGCGGGCCGACGTCTTCAAGAAGTACATCAAGGAGGTGTCGGGTACCGCCAAACGCTACGCCATGTCCCGACCCCAAGCCGCCGGCACCTCAAGGTCAGGGCCCGCTGCTCAACCGCCTCCTGCCGCTTCCGTCGCTGTCGTCTCAGGGCCCGTGCAGCAACCGGGGCTGCCGTCGGCGTCTGTTCCGCGATCTCCATCCGCTCCCGAGGAGTAGGGCAATAGGGCGTCGCCCACGTTTTCATCCAACGTGAATTGCTCTCCTTTGGTGGGGCTTCGTTGGCGTCTATGGTTATTATTAGTACTATCTTATCTGATGTCTATTTGAGATTCCAGTGAATGTTTCGTTGGTGTCTATGGTTAGTACTAACTGATGTCTATTTGAGATTCCAGTGAGAAGACCAACTTATGTTTGTTTCTGGATCTGGTACTCTGCTACATGCAATGTCAAGCAAGTTAGTCACTTCGCGTCACGTATTTATAAATTGAGCATGTGTGTTCTTCTTTGCTGGTCGCGCTTCATCATTTAATATAGATTCAAGAGTATTGTGTTTGTATATACGCCACTGTGTTCGCTTGGGAGTAGTCTAGTTTCGTTGAAGAGGATTAATGCTTCCTGATTTGCAACTATATGGGTATTGAGTTGTAAAATTCAACTCATCATGGCCGATCTTGCATTGGCACAAATGCTACTGGACAATTGGTAGATAGATCATCTGATATATGCTTTGTGATTGACTAGCTAGTACCGTTGAACACATTGTCTTTATACTTGTTTTTGGATGTGGGCGGTTAAGAGTTGACAAGAGGGAGCTCTAATCCATACGGAGTAATTCAAGTGTTATTTCCTAGTTTTAGAACTCGATAGCTTCGTGTGTGTTACATGTGCTGCCTTATGGAAAAAGAAAAGATCAAATGGGACTGAAGGCTATGGACGAGATTACCTGTTCATGTTGGGGTTTACTATGCTCTTTAAACTGTATAGTTCATCCATTCCTTTCTTATACTATTATTATATTATACTATTCTCAGGCTTCTTAGCAGCCAGTTCATGATATTATGCCTTTCTGCTGGCTGGCTTGTTTTTGGCCTCTCAAAAAGAAGTGTAACAATATTTTGCTGTGATGGGAACTTTAGTTACCAGGTTTGTGCAGATTGTTGTTATCTTATCCGATTGACGGATTTGAATTCATTATGTTGGTGATTTAAGATACATATGCTAATTTGTTGAACTAAATCTGTCTTAATAGCGAGGAAAGGAAGATCTGGTATACTTAATTTCCACCACTGTGCATGCATGTTTGCATCAGCATATTTATTCTGGAATTCTGTTTTTTCTTTTTTCTTTTTTTGGCTGCAATGCATTTAATATCCTAGAGTGTTTGTATGTTAGCTACTGCCTAGTGTATGCTGTTCCCCCATGTTGATCAAGGCTGTGTTAGCTTGGGAGTTGGTGTATTTTCTTTGGCGATGAAAGATGCTGGTCTTTTTGCAACTAGCTATATGGGTTTTGTGGTTCTTGTGGGGCGGTTTACAAGCCTGCAATGTGATTCAAGATCCATAGACATCACATTTTTCAGTTGAAAGTACCAACGAGAGAAGTTTTGACCATGCATCTGTTTTCAAAGATTTTATGGCATCATAAAATTGTGGATTACTCTGTGAAACACGAACCACAAAAAATTCAGGTACACAGATGTAACTATCTGCTCCAGTAATATTGGCTTACTCTACTTGCTCTGTTGCATATCCACAATTTAGACATATTTACATCTTTATATGCATATAGGCAGATCTCTGCTACTCCCTCTGTTACAACATATGGCTAAGCCAGTTCTGGATATGTGTATATACATCTTCCTTTTATGACATATTTAGCATCTTCTATGACTATATATATACTTCTTCCTTTTATCATTTTGTGTAGGTTTGTCTTCTGAATTCTTGCACTGTTTTTTTCCCTATTCTATTCAAAGTGTTCTGTATTTCTTTTTAATCATTGTGTGTTTTGTCTTCTGAATTCTTGCACTCTCATGGGCACTTGAAGCGTCTTTTCAGAAGCAGTCTTCATAGGTGATCTCGATCAGTATTTTCAAGGACAGTATGAGCTGCCGGGCTTGTGCACTGCACCAGGTGGAGGGTGTTAGGCCTGCCTGAACCTGAAGATACTGAAAACTGTGACTAATTTTCAATTCTAACCAGTGAGAAACAAGTTGTTCTCGAGTAACGATATCACTGAAATGAACCACCGGGAGAGACCGGTGACTGATTGAAATAACCAGTTGAGTGGATGAAAATGTCCTTTGTACGCACGGTTGGACCAATGCTCTTGTGTGCTTGACTGAAAACCTGGAATAAACCTGTTTACTTAATCCTTGAGCCATGATGTATGGCTTAACTCTTCTGTGCTAGTTGTAAGTTTGTAACGATACGTACTGTGATATCTATCTCTGGTCCTGTACTAAGGTGAAGTAATTTGGCTTTGCAATTTGGCTAATGATGTTTGCAAACTATTATATATTGTCGTCCCTGAAAACGAAACGGAATGTCTGCTAACCTTAAGGATTTCCGTCGATCTGCTGCAATTTGGCTAATCCTGTATACCGGAGGACGGCGATATCATCCACATGAATCAATACCACGGATCTAACCCAAAGCATTCGATTTTAACCATAGATCTAATCCTACTATAGATTACTGTGTGTGTTCTTGAATAACTGAGGCCCCGTTTAGTTGTTTTCGCGAAAAGTTTTTGTGTCACATCGGATGTTTTATGGTATGTCGGAAGGGGTCTTTGATACTAATTAAAAAAACTAATTACATAACTCGTCTGGAAACTGCGAGACGAATTTATTAAGCCGGCATTAGCACATTTGTTACTGTAGTACTTTAGTGTCAAATCACGGACTAATTAGGCTTAAGACGTTCGTCTCGCAATGTATACGCAAACTGTGCAATTAGTTTTTTATTTCGTCTATATTTAATACTCCATGTATGTGCCATAAGATTCGTTACTGTAGTTTTTCACGAAAAGTTTTTCGAACTAAACATGGCCTGACTTCCGAACGGATGCCAATCCCGTTCGTTCACTTTGTATCATGTTCTATTAATTACATTAGGATCAATCAAATAAAAAAAGACGGTTCATTAATTACATTCTCTCAAACACGCTATCAACATATACTTACTTCGTTCGGTTGGTGGGGAACGATTTCCAGCCGGAGGCTTGCTTCGATAATTTGTATGTAAGTGTGTAGAATGTGGAGGGAAGCAATACGAGGTGAGTACTCGCTTCTCAGACAGAAGGATCAAGAAACACCGTTGCTGCGATGCTGGACATGTCACATGAATGAAGTGAAAACCAGGAGGATTAGCGTGAGGCAGGAAGGAGGAAAGGGGGTTGAAAGAGGGCACACCTTTGCTCCTCATCTGCTTCCTTCTCCTGCAAATGCGGGGATCCGGTACGGGAAAGGGTGTATTCGTGTATACTGAATACTGCGTGCACGCACCTGGTTGGCTGTTTTTTTTTTGTTACTATTTGATATTTTGATTTGATTTCATTTTGGCGTGCTTTTGATCCTCTTTCAATATAACCTTCCATGGACATTGTTAGCTGAATTAGGAAAAGGTTGGAGATATGAGGCAACTCTTACCTGGGCACAAGTACGGTGGTTAGTCCCGTTCTCCGTGTGGGCACAGTTGTACACCTCTGCAGAGTTTGAAAGCCTGAACTTCCTCGGGACAGAACCGTTTTGGTTGTTCTTACTTCTAGACCCTTTGTAGTGTTGATGGTTATGACACATAAACATGAGATGGATTATAATGTTGATCACTTTAACTACGTATTCCTTTACCACATGCTATGTACTTGTAATTGCTCTATTAATTTAAAGATGAATCATGAGCATTGCATTCTTTAACAAACCCATGCTTTTTCCGCAAATGTACAAATGCCTGATAATACCCTTTGCATCCACCAAACATTTATATGTTGGAATTAAGTCCTGTGAGTATGAAATGTACTCACGGTGCTACCATTAAGTTGCTTTGCAGGTAATCCCCGTTTGGTTTATAGTTGTGCCAAGCTCAACAAGTGCGGAATAGCAGACTTTGGAATGGGCGAATCCAATACGAGCTACAAGTTAAACTCCGATATATATGTGTGTACGATTCTGAGAGATCAACTTTAGAATGGGCTGAACTTAAAATTGTGTATGTTTCTTCAAATATAATGAAATGTTTTGAGCTTTAAAGCTTGAATGTTAAGTGTGTTTTACAAATGTTATACATGAGGCCACATGTTAGTTTATTACCTGGATTGCCATATGTCATCCAATTGCAAGATCTTGATGAGGGGAAAGCCAATTGGCACTCTCCCGTTGGTATCATCTTCATCCACTTCAAGTGAGCTGTCACGTGTCGCCAGTTAGCCCACTTCATCGATCGTCGTCCAGTCACAACTAGCCAATCAGACGCGAGCTGACTGGATCCGCTTCTGCTTCGCCAGATTCCAAGGCCTCCGTCGCCAATGGGGCAACACCGTCATTGGGATCATGATCGTCGCCTCTGCCAGAGTCCTCTATCGCTGCCGCCAAGGATATCCTCTTCTGCCCAGACTCCTAGGCCACCGCTACCAACGGGATCAGCCTCCTCCTCGCCGAGATCCTTGCACCAGTGATTAGGCTGCTATCGCGGCACCACCCCTAGGACATAGCTGCCTACGGACCCACCTCCGTAGGATCCGCCTTCTCCCTGCCGAGGACTGACCGTCGATGCTTAAGTCACCACCGTCCTTCGTCACACCAGCCGCCGCCCAAAGGGACGACGTCGTCGACGCCTCGCCGCTACCCGCCGCCCTGCCGGCCACCTCCGTTGCCGGCACCATAGGGGCTCGCCGCTGCCCTACCTCTAGATGTGAGCTCCGGCAGCTGTGCTAGGGGCTAGAGGAGGGGATGACCCGTTCGAGCGCCGCTGTCGGTCACAACCTCTAGATCTAGGCATGACTCCCCTCCTTCTTTGGAAGCACCACCGGGTCGATCAACAGGCGTGGAGCCACGAACAGGGTGCCTAGCAGGGGCGAGCGTGCCACCACACCGTGTTATAACAACCACGGTGGTCACTGCTTAGTTTGGATCGGTGGTGGCAGACCCGTCTAGGAGCTTACGCAAGAGCGGAGCCGTGTGGGGCCACGCCTGGCCCTGCATGTTTGGATATTGG